AACAATCTTGTAAAATCTGTATTGATCTTCTTTATCAATATATATTTTAAATTTGAAAATTGTGTTTGTATTCATCCCCCCCCCCTTCTACAAACTGTTTAGTATTCTTGTAGACCCTTTTGGGACCAACACATTTCTCTTTCCATCTCTTTATAAACTCAATCGCTTCACTTACAACCAAGACCCCGTCGAGAATGGATCTGCCGCCCATGAAAGCCCTTTCTTCTTCTCCAATTAGTTTCCCAATGAACTTCTTTAATTTGTCTGCTAGGATGTTAACAATGATCTTGTAGCTATTAGCAACCAGTCAAATTGATTGGTTCCCTAATACCAGTAGGATCCTTGCATTTGGGAATTAAAGCGAGGAAAAAAGCATTGCAGCCCTGGCTAAAAGCAATGGTGTGCCAAAACGCTCGAAAGACATCATCCTTAGTGAGGAGCCATAACTTCTTAATGAACCGGACATTGAATCCGTATGGTTCAGTGTCTTTGAGCAGCTATACGTCTTAACTGCCTCCCAAATCTCATCTTCACACACCAAAGATTCCAACCAACAAGCTTCATCAAGAGATAATTAATCTGGTGGAACAAAATAGAGAATAAAAACCACAAGGGTGGTGCCTGATTGGTTTGATCTTGGCTCCAAAGGTCAAAAGTACTAAGAGGTCCAGATTCAAATCCAAGGAGGAATAAAAATCCCCTTGTGGCCACGATGGTTCAAATGCGGTGACTCCGGGCTATCTGCAAAGCAGGTGGTCGCCCTGGGATTAGTCAGCTCGTATAGCGGGTTGAATATCCAGGTTAATAAAAAAATAGAGAATAAAATTTTAGAGACGGTTGGAAATTAGTGGTGGGAATGCTTAGAGCATCTCCAATCATACCCCCACATTTTAATTAATGTGGAGAGTTATTTGTCTAGAAATTAGTGTACGTAGTCTTCTTTTATAATTGTTTTTCGATAATGTCTTTACATTAAACATTATTTAAATGCTCTTCAATCTCAAAATAAATGTCTATAATGAAACAGACACATAATTTTAAGAATATGTAATTTAATAAAATAAGTTCCTTTTTTTTAATTATTAATAAAATACATAATATTAAGACAGACTAGGAACCAAAAACCAGATGAAATAGTAGGTATAAAGTAAAACAAGACCAAGAACAACGCCATACCATGCCCTCTCCACCATAACAAAATGTTTCCACTATATCTCAGGAGTCGTCCTCCAATAAGGTCCGCTCTCGTGGTTATCTGAAGTGGATTATCTCTTTTGTAGTAGATGCCGAAGGTCTTCATTAGAAAGCATTTTCAATCTATTTGCTGCGGATTTTGCAGACCCAACAATTTTATTGACATTTTTCTATCATATCAGCTCTCTACTTGAATCAGTGGATTGAAGAATTCAAGCTTGAAGACAAAGAGAAATATGTTGATACAATAAGTCTATTATACGGAGCTCTAGTAGAGTGAGATAACGTAAATTAGGGTGGGATTGAGTTACAAGAAGGGATTGGAGTGGTGATTTTTTGATTTTGTCTGCCTGCAAAATGTTGATACAAGAAGTCTATTGAAGATGAAAATGGACATGACAAGGGGTGCTCAGTTCAGGCACGAGAATGGAAGTGAAAATAAGAACGAATTTACATTCCCCTGATTTAATCTGAAATAAAAAATTGTATTTTAAAAAAATAAAACCATTATATCATTTAAAATTAATCATCCTGTTAGTTACTACTTGATACTTTAAATCAAATACACTTAATTTAAAAAGGGAAATTACTCAAAATAACCAATTTATACACCGTACATTAACAAAATGACTACTTTTCAAAGTTTTTTTTTCCACAAAATGACCACCAAAATTGCCCCTGGAGGGTGATTTTAACTATTTTGGGCGGTTTTGACTATAAGGTACAGATGAGTCCCACATGTATACCATTTGAAGGATAAAAATTAGATATTATATCTGAAAATGGACAAATCGCCCTCAAAAAGTGAAAATTGCCCCATGGGAGGCGATTTTGACTTTTATTTCGGCTTTTAGTGAAAGACAACTTATGACGCAACGGTTTGACACATCAATGACGATTTGACGAAACACTAGGGGGCGATTTTCATTGGTATTTTTTCTTTTTGTGACCAAATGTAATATATATATATATATATAAATCTTGTAGTATTCTCTATAAAATTATAGTGATCCAAACACTTCTACTCTCACAACCATTAACCTGCCACTTCGAACATACATGGAACCATTATCACTTTGACGTGATTTCATATCTGTGTCAAAAGTTGTGACGATAGATTGTGTTTAAGAGTCAAGGGCTGTGAGAGTAGAAGTGTTTGGATCAATACAATTTTATAGAAAATACTACTAAAGTTATATACAGGTATACTACCCATTTTGTCTTAAAAAAGACAAAATACCAGTGAAAATCGCCCTCGATGTCTCGTCAAATCGTTATAAGTTGTATTAACAAGAAGACGGAATAGAGGTCAAAATCGCCCCATAAAATGGGCGATTTCATATATATCAGATATAATATCTGATTTTTGTTCTCCAAATAATATATATATGTATGACTCATCCGTACCTTATAGTCAAAATCGTTCCAAAATATTTTGATGATCATTTTGTGAAAGATCTCTAGAAAAGGATCATTTTATTAAAATGCCGTGTATAAATTGTCATTTTTGGTAATTTCCTATTTTAAAAACGGATACAAAATAAAATGATAAAAAAACAAAGTTTTAAGAGGAATGTTAAAAAGATGAAAAGAACAAATAAGGTAAGTTCTTCATTATCCTGAAGTTCACGCGCGACCAACGCGCGTCTTCCACGAGAAAGAGGGTGTTGTTCAAGAAACGTATGAAATCATCTGACAATTCCTAATAACCCTTGAGTTGAGATCCAAAAAATAAAGAAAAAAGAAAACCCTTTTCTTTCTTTCTTTCTTTCTTTGTTTATGGTGCTTCTCTCTCACTCTCTCTCCTGAATTTATATGAATCTACGTGAAGAGAAATTCTCTTTCCCACTACCCGTTACGGTTTCTCGATAAAAGAAAGAAGAAATTCAGCGAAAAAGGGTTTTTAGAGAGAGAAAGAGAGAATGGGAAAGATTAGAGCGAGAAAGACTGTTTTTGGTGTTCATTGTCGTTCTACTTTTAATCACAAAAAATCCCAATTTTCATATTCATACGCCCAAGAACAAATACTATTGCTGTTAATAGTTTTAATTATTATTAATACACTCTCCACACATTTACTTTTGTTTTTATACATTTATTATTATCAGAAATCGTCAATCTTGAAATCTCACCGCACATCTCTATCACTCATGATGATAATATTATGTTAGATACAAGATCATAGGTTGATAGAGAGAGAAAGGGTTTGTAGTGAGAGAAAGTTTTGTTGATTTCTTCTTCTACTTATTATTATCTTTACTTTTTCGTCAACAATACCCTAATTTCAGATGTCTACCGCCCTCCTTGCAAACCCTATTTGTTGAGGGAGAAACTTCGATTTGGTGCACACCAAGTGTTTGATGTCTTGATTCACCCTGTTTGCTGTGTTGGGTTTGATCTCAATTTCAACACCCAGCTGCCCTTTTCGATCTTCTTTAGCAATGGATGGTGCTAGCGCCCATGGCGGCGGTGTTTCGGAAGGGGACAACAAGAATTCAGGGGAAGGGGGAGAGCCAAAGGTGAAGAGGAAGATGAAGACGGCTTTCCAGTTGGAGGTTCTGGAGAAAACTTATGCTGGTCTGGACTTGTTTCTACTCTTGAATCTTTTTGATGAAATTATTTTTCTTTTATATCGATTTGCTTTCAATTTAGTAACTTTAGTGATGGCTTAAATTGCTTGATCGAATCTTCAGTGGAGACATATCCATCGGAGCCTCTTCGGGCACAGTTGTCAGTCCAGTTGGGGTTAACAGATCGCCAGTTGCAGATGTGGTTTTGCCATCGGAGGTTGAAAGATAGGAAAACTCCACCAGTGAAGCGGCCAAAGAAAGAAATGTCTGGTGGGGTTGGGGATGACATGGTGGCATCTGGGGAACGCTTAGGTGGAAATGAGCCTGGTGGGTCTGGTGGGTCGGGTTCTGGGTCAAGTCCATTTGGGCATACGGACCGAGTTGTGGCTAGAGCTGGTCCAGCTGTTAGTGGGAGTGGGAGGGTTGCAGTCACAGCTCCAGCTGCAGTTGCAACAACTACTGAGATGCCATCTATGAAGAGGTATTATGAGCCTCCACATGCGGTTTCTGAGGTTCGAGCCATTGCTTTTGTTGAGGCACAGTTAGGGGAACGATTACGTGAGGACGGCCCTATTCTTGGAATGGAGTTTGACCCATTGCCGCCGGGTGCATTTGGTGCACCTATAGGTAATGTACTCAGTCTCTTGGGCTTGCTTTGCATAGCATTTTTCATGCTTTTCTGTAGTGTTCGATTGCAGTGTGGGAGAGTGAACATTTTGTCTTTGATTTACATGCTTGATGTGAACTAATGATAAATTAGGTTGGTAGTTCAATGTTGTTAGCAAGACACATGCCTATTTTGATGAATGGTTGCTACAATTTCTTTTTAACCGGAGCGTTAGTGTTGGTAGATTAGTGTTATAGGAATAGGAACAATATATAACTCCCTATCTGATTTCAAGACTCATTTTCAATTAATGTATTGAATTCTTATCCTTGCTCAAATCGATTGAAATGTTTGTATATCTTCTATTAATAAGCGATGTTAGTGGGCAACTTAAACCATCAAGAATCGACAAAATTATCATTTCAGCTTAAAATAATAATGAAAGGAACACATAGATATTGCAGGCAACACTGGTCTACAAGGATAGACTTGAGATACGTCCCTTAGGCCTATTCGAATATCTGTATTAACTATTAAGAAAAGGGTAACCTCATCACTGTTTAAATACATTCCAAATTGATGCTTTTCTCATGTGTCTATGATCTTGTACTGTTGGTATTAAGTTGTTTGTTTGACATCAGTTGCAAACAAAAATCAGAAAGAAATTTTCATGGACCTTTTCATCACATACAACATTCATGCAATAAAAGTGCTTGCTTATCGCAAGTCTTTGTTGATTGTTACGTACTTGGTAGAAAAAAGATCGATCATTCATTTAATTTATTTTTTTGTTGATTTCCTGATTGTACATGTGGGTCATAGAATAAAAGTTGCATTTTTCCACCAATGAAGGAGTTACGGAAGAGTATGGAAGGAGTTCCCATTTTATTGAGTTCGACCGAAGTAGTCCTTTTTTAGTATTTCCATAAACCCTTCTTTAGCACTTCCTAAGGTAATTGAAATACTTGCGAAATCATTCACTTTGTACTTCTGTAGGGTTTTGAGTTAGCCGAGTTAATTTAACTGCCTGTAGTTTATGGCCACACCTTAATTATATTTTTGAATATCCATTCTTTGCTGATCAAAGTGGTAATATTTTATCTGACATTGATTTCATTTACCAGTTTTGTATTACTTATGTCTAGTGCATAATGGAAGAAATTGGGAGTAAGTTTTCATTTGCTTTATTTTTTGTCTTTCTTGATTCTATCATCTTGGTGATCATTTTCTGCAGTTCAACAGAAGTCAGCAGTTCGACCTTATGAAGGCAAACCATATGAGCGCCCTGATGCAAAACCGGTGAAGGTTGGTCTAATTTTTTATTTTCTTTCCTTATAATTCTTTACTCATTTTATAGATTCAATGATGATTGTTACCCCATACACTTGCTTTACAATTTCAAATGATGGGGTGACGGTTGTTGCAACTTTCAAGAATGCAATTAGTTTTTACGCTGTGCCTTCATACTAACAAAATGATATGGAGTTATTCTTGATTTTCTTATGCATGGCTTGTGTCTAACTAGACTAAATATGGTTCGACTAAATTAAAGAAGTCGATGAGCCCACCATCTCATTAAGCAATGGTTTGACTTGACTAAAAAAGCTTTTGACCAATTTGCTTGAGTTAAGCTATGGTCATCTCATTATGCGAGATCCAAGAAGTTACAAACTTACAATTATGTGCTACTAAATAGGTCGTAGATGACCAATTCCATCCATTTACCATGGTTAAAAAAATTCATCATTTACCAAGGTTAAAAAGTGGCATGTTAATCGGGATTCCTTGAAAAGGAAGGAGGATGCTCAAGATATTTCTGAACTCTTTTAGCATGATTGAAACATTATTAATCATTAATTGAGGACTAAAAAACGTAATTTTGCATGCAGAATATGCTCGATTTTATAAATATAATGTGGTTCTTACTCACGTATTACTAAATGAAATGCAATTATTTATCATCGTTTTCTTGGAGTATGGACTTTTAAAGCAACATAGAAATGTAGGTATGGAGATATGCATTTATGTTTGCTTGTCCTTCTAAATTGCTGAAGTTGCAGCTTAATTTAATCTAAAGAACGCATCGTTTATTATTTTGAAGAAAAGGGTAGTACTCTAATGAGCCTCGTAACCAAATTCACAATGGAGCGAAATAGTGATACTCTTTCGTCCACAATGAAAAAGGACAATTTTAGAAATCTGTGATCGTTACGCTTTTTAATTAACTAAATGACAATTGTATCCTTAACAATAAAGGGAGTAATGAATTTCTCTATCTCTTAAATAGGGGTAGAATTGGAAAGTAGGCACTTACTTTTAAAAGTGGACACCTGTTTCAGGAAAAGTTAAAATAGAAATGTGGACGCTTATTTTGAGACAGATGGAGTACTATACAATGCTACATAACTACTTGACAGATACATTTCAAGTGGAAAATAATGCAATTATTGTTCTTCTCAGGGTGCTGTGAAGGCTCTCCATGAATACCAGTTTCTTCCAGAACAACCATCTGTTAGAAGCGATTCCTATGATAGAGCAACCCCAGCTCGGTATTATGGTTCTCCATCTGATGTTGCAACTAGTCGGACACCTGTAACCACCGGACGTTCTTTTAGTCATGGAAACGATCCAATAGCCTCTGGATACGGTTTTCAAGGACCCATTGCAGGTGTAAGTCTTGTACCTCAACAAGGAAGGCAGGCCCCCCTTTTGCTGCCTCCTCCGGCTGGAGAATTTGATAATGCTGTACATAAAAGCTCTACAATAAGCCCTGGAATGGAAACTCATCTTGGTGCTCACCCGATAACTGGAATAGAGAATCCATTTGCTACACCATCAGAAAAGCGAACTACCCATGAGGAGGATATTGCACGAATTGAAAGAAAACGGAAGGTTGACTTTTTTGAAGTATATATAATCTTTATATACTGCAAAACTCACACACACTCCTCGTCTCTGGTGACCCAATTACTGCCGGGCCAATGACCCTTTGGTTGATTTTGATGGCACGGACTACTTAATTTTTTAAACTATTTTTTGCTTACTTATTGTATTGGTTTATGTATCTTGGACAGAGTGAAGAAGCTAGAATAGCAAAGGAGGTTGAAGCCCATGAAAAACGGATCAGAAAAGAGCTTGAAAAGCAAGATATGTTGAGACGAAAGGTATTTCTATTCTATCTGTAAGTTTTTTTCTTGCAAAGTTCGATAGTTTGAACTAATTGTATTCAATTCTGCTTTTATTGAAGAGAGAGGAACAAATGAGGAAAGAAATGGAGAGGCAAGATCGTGAGCGCCGGAAAGAGGAAGAACGTTTGTTGCGTGAGAAGCAACGGGAGGAGGAGAGATACCAAAGAGAACAAAGACGTGAAATGGAGCGGAGGGTGAAGTTTTTACAGAAGGAATCCATGAGAGTAAGTCTTTGAGGTTACTTTTCTATTTAATATTTGTGTTATCTTGATATATTTACATGCCATTGCCTTTTTCAGGCCGAAAAATTACGACTTAAAGAAGATATGCGAAAGGAAAAGGAGGCTGCAAGGCTCAAAGCAGCTAATGATAGGGCTGCTGCTCGAAGAATTGCAAAAGAATCAATGGAACTAATTGACGATGAGCGTTTGGAATTGATGGAGATAGCTGTGTCAAGTAAAGGGTTGCCTTCTATGCTGTCTCTTGATAGTGAGACTTTGGAAAGCCTCGAGTCACTAAGAGGTATTCTTTCTCTGATTCATGTAGATGATATGATTGTGGTTATAGTTAATTCTATGTTTAACTGTGTTCCATTTATGGGAAAGAACAGAACTTGATTAATATTTGATGTTCTTGTTCAACTTTTGGTGTAATTTTGTTTCTTAAATTAGATTGTAGCCATTGACCATGTAAAATTGCTTGCCGGATCTTTCTTTCGCCTATTTTAGTAGTTTTTGTCAAAGAAGACATCCAGAATTTTTGGGCTTGAAAATGCTCACATTATCCCAAAGTTGTCTTCACGGGTTTGTAGTATTTTTCCCCATCCCAAAATAAATGTGCACAGTAAAAAAACCCACATGGTTTAAGAAATGTGTAATTGTTACACTTGTTAATTGACTGAATGACAATTTTACTCTTAAATGATGGAGGCAAACCTCTCTCTTTCTTCATATCAACTCTTGGATTTTGTGAGTAATTAAGGGTAAAATTGAAAATTTAGTAAATTATAACTACTTATTTTTAAAAGTGGACACTTATTTTGAGACGAGCTTAAATAGAATGTTTGATATTTATTTTCTTTGTATTATTTTCAATGTTCATGTAACTTACAAAATCTTCATTGCTTTAGATATGCTCCCTGAATTTCCACCCAAGTCCGTGCACATGAAGAAGCCATTTAAAATCCAACCATGGACTGATTCTGAGAACATCGGCAATCTTCTTATGGTGAGTATTATTTTACTTTTTGTGCTTTAGTCTGTTTCGCTCTCAATCTTGATTTTATGTCTTTTAGATACATGGATTTATTTGAATTACGTATTCTCAGGTTTGGAAATTTCTGATTACTTTTGCTGATGTTCTTGGACTTTGGCCTTTTACTCTTGACGAATTTGTGCAAGCTTTTCACGATCATGTAAGTTTTCCTGAAATATTTTTCGGGAATTACATCATTTTGCTTCTATTAGATGTTCGATATTGGAACCATTTTCTAAACAACCCTCTCCTGAACTTCTAGGATCCTCGGTTGTTGGGAGAAATTCACGTGGCACTTTTGAGATCCATTGTTAAAGATATTGAAGATGTAGCAAGGGCACCCTCATCCTGTTTAGGAGCAAATCAAACAAGTGCTCCTAACCCTGGAGGTGGCCATCCGCATATTGTTGAAGGGGTAATTTTACTTTCATGTTTATCTTTTTTATCTGTAATTAAAATCCCACCTCCCGACCCCACCTCTTGGTGGGATATACTGGGCTCGATTAGTTTGGTTTATTTGTAGTTGACATTATGAAACGTTTCTTGACTTCTTTCAGGCATTTGCTTGGGGTTTTGATATATGTAGCTGGCAGCATCACTTAAATCCCTTGACGTGGCCAGAGATATTGCGCCAGTTTGCTCTTGCTGCAGGATTTGGACCGAAATTGAAAAAGAGGAATGCCGATCGAGCACATCCACGTGAAGAAAATGAGGTGCCTTTCTTTTTCCATCTGACCATCTTTAGTCACATGTGGACTGATGTCTTCAAGTGAACCTCTTGTACCTTGTGTTTTTTGCGTTGTCTTTTTTCCATTTTTCTTAAGATAAGGTATGCAGCCATTTACTCTTTGTATTTCAACAGATGGAGGGGTGATAAAATCATATTTTCCTTGTTGTTTACTCCCCACATCCCCAAATAATTCACAAGTTCATATTTAAGCTTATCTGATTTGGTGGTGTGGCGACTTGCAAATGTAGGGTGTTGATGGTGGAGATATCATTTCGAATTTACGTAGTGGAGTGGCAGCTGAAAATGCATTGGCCATCATGCAAGAGAGGGGTTTCTCCAATCGGAGATCCAGGCATCGGTTGACACCGGGAACAGTTAAATATGCGGCATTTCATGTTCTCTCACTCGAGGGAAGCAGGGGACTTTCTATATTAGATGTTGCTGACAAGATTCAGGTAGCTTTAGATTGTTGATCATAGAGTTGCTGCTAATATTAGGCCAAAATGAATTACAATGCAACGAAGTTTGCCTTCGTTTCTATTTAGTGTAACAAAGATTTTTTTTATTGATCAATGTAACAAAGTTACAAATTTTCTTATTCAGTGCAGCAAAGTTCCAAAAACCTCCTATTTAGAGGCTATAAAGTTTCGAAATTTCCCCTCTTTTACCCATTTGACCATAAGCTGCTGGTCTTGTAACATTTCTTACGTGGATGCCAAGTTTATTGTCCACTTTGCCATAACCCTCTCGTAAACATGTATCCATGTCATCAAATGTTACAAGCTTAGTAGGTCACCATTCAAAATGGGTACCAAATAGGAAATTTTGAAACTTCATTACATCGATTAAGAAAAAATCGTTGCACTAAATAGGAACTAAACCGTTGTTGCACTTTGCTCTTAATGTGATCTTCTCTTTTCTGAATTTATTACATTTCTTTGTAGAAATCTGGGCTTAGGGACCTCACCACGAGCAAAACACCAGAAGCGTCTATTGCTGCTGCTTTGTCTAGAGATACAAAGCTTTTCGAAAGAACAGCCCCTTCAACGTATTGCTTACGCAGTCCTTACCGAAAAGATCCTGCTGACGGTGATGCGATCATTAATGCCGCAAGAGAAAAGATTCATATTTTTAAAAACGGTTACTTTGATGGAGAAGAGGCTTTTGATGCCGAAAGGGATGATGCTGAAAAAGACGATGATTCCGAAAGTGATGTTCCTGAAGATCCGGAGGTTGATGATATTGCAGTCGATTCAAAGATGAACGAAATATCTCCTCTTTCTTCTCATGATCAGCTCTTTAGAGAAACTTCATTTGGTGGCATTGGAAATTCCGCTGCTATAAAATCTGAAACTCTGGAAGATATGAGGGTTGATTCTTCCATTGACCAATCTAACATTATTGGTGGGACCCACAAGGGGGCGACTGATCTGGCCGAAGATACTGTAGTTGACGAAAGTATCTCCGGTGAGCCTTGGGTGCAAGGACTTATGGAGGGCGAGTATTCTGATTTGACCGTTGAAGAACGACTCAATGCTCTTGTTGCCTTAATAGCTGTTGCCAATGAAGGAAATTCTATTCGTGTTGTTCTAGAGGTAGCTTGGTATTTCTTTAGTAGGGGGAAAGTTCATTTAGGAACCGTAATTATCTTGAGAACTGCTGAACCAAATATTCATAATGAAGATCATGAATATTCATCATGAATATCTCGTTCTCATGATTCTCAAAATTTTCCGGTTCTCAAATAAACCTGCCCTTTTTTGTGTATTCCTCCTTGTTCCAAAATAAGTGTCCACATTTCTATTTTAATTACTCCTAATATAAGTGTCCACTTTCAAAAGTAAGTGCCTGCCTTCTAATTCTACCCTTGATTATGTGATAGAGAAATTCATTACTCCATCTATTATTAAGGGTAGTATCGTCATTTAGTTGATTAAAAAGTGTAATAAATTACTCATTTCTAAAACCTGTCTTTTTCATTATGGACATCTATTTTAGGACGAAAAAAGTATGTCGTTAACTATATTTCTGCCAGAATCGTTTGGATGTAAATTACAAGAACTTTGGCAGGAACGGTTAGAAGCAGCCATGTCATTAAAGAAGCAGATGTGGGCAGAGGCGCAAATCGATAAACGACGAATGAAGGAAGACTTCATGATGAAAATACAATACCCGTCTGTTGATGACAGAAGTGATATAGCATCAAACAACCATCAGGAAATCTTGGGTGATCCACAGAATGATTTGAGTAATCCCAATGAACTCTTGACTACTCCAGATGGTTTTCCACTTCAACAACCTGCATATGCTGCTGAAAAGTCGAGATCACAATTAAAAGCATTTATTGGTCATAAAGCGGAGGAGATGTATGTATACAGATCGTTGCCACTTGGACATGACCGAAGAAGGAACCGCTACTGGCAGTTCATTACGTCCGCTTCACGTAATGATCCTGGCTCCGGTAGAATCTTTGTTGAGTTACGTGATGGCTGTTGGAGGCTTATCGACAGCGAGGAGGTAATATGCTTTCTTATCGAGCAGAATACCATGTGTTTACTCCCTTGGTTCCGTTACTATTTAGAATGTTCATTTTAGGTAGTAAGAAATTTCTATTTGGAGACCAAATTCCTCTAACCCACCTCCGGAAGGGACATACTGAGCTTGTTTTGTTTGGTTTTTGCAAAATTCTCAACCATTTTTATCGTTTTTACATGCAGGGCTTCAACAGTCTTTTGGCATCTTTAGATGTTCGTGGGAATCGGGAGGCGCAACTGTATTCTATGTTGCAAAGGATTGAGGCCCGTTTTAAAGAATCCGCCATCAAGATGCAGGTCGATGTTCCAGGAGCTGGATATGCGACTGCTTGTGGCTCCAATAGCCCAAGCAGCACTGTATCAATTCCAAATACAAATATTTTGGAATTCTCATCCTCTTTTGCAATCGAGTTGGGACAAAGCGGAAAAGAGATGACTAATGCCCTGAAAAGATATGAAGATTTTGAAAAATGGATGTGGGGAGAATGCTTCGCTTTACGGGCAATGAAGTTTGGGAATGCTAGATGTGAACACCTGCTACGAATTTGCGATAATTGCCGTGATTTGTCGTTCTTCGAGGATAATCAATGTTTTTCTTGCCATAAGCAATGTGAGACATTTCTCGGTAGCAACTTAGCTTTTTCTAAACATATATCTCAGTTCATAAAAAAGTTGAGACTGGAATCTGCGTCCTATTTTCACAATCGGGAATTCTGCAGTCCTGTGAGGTTCAGATTGATTAAAGCTCAATTAGCATTAATTGAGGTGAGAGCTTTATCTTTTTCAAACACTTTTCACGTGCTGAGGGTATTCATGAAAATAACTGCTTTACTCTTTGGGGTAGAGGTCAGGTCTCCCTCCTCAGACCCCATTTTCCGGTGGGATTTTCGAGGGTCTTCTAGTTCCTGTTTTTCATGGTGGTGTTTCGAGTCATAAACCTGAATTTCTTATTTTGCATTTGGAATATCGTTATCTTTTTACAGGCTTCTATTCCACTGGAAGCTCTACAACCTTCGTGGTCCGGCGAGTGCAGAAAATCTTGGAGTGTGAAGCTGGTTAATGCAGGAACAGCCAAAGCCCTTCTTGAGGTGCGTACATACACGATTAATATGCTTGAATGCATGTATAAATGTACTTAGCAGCTGGTTAAGAGATTATTTATGGTTAAACTCTTCACAACTTATCAATCGATTGCATAAGATATACCAAAACCACTAAAGACATGAGATAATTTCGATTTTTTGTCATACTTTTTACCCATTCCAAAAAACTAGCTGGTAATCTAGTTGCTGGCCGATAAGCTAGCTGTTAGCTGATAAACTAATCATGTTTGGTAAAACCAACTGTTAAACTAGCGAACTAGCTATTGGCTATAAACTAGTCATGTTTACCAAAACTAGCTGGTAACTAACACACTAGTCATGTGTGGTAAAAACCAATTGTTAGCTGATAAGCAGGTCATTTTTGGTAAAAACTAGCTGTTAGCTAATAAACTCATCATGTCTGGTAAAAACTAGCTGATAAAGGAATGTATGAGTTTCTCAGGTTTTGACGTTGTTGGAGAGCGCTATAAGAAGGGATTTTTTGTCCCTGGATTTTGAAACGACAGATGAGTTGTTGGGTTCTAATAACTCGGTAACTTTACGTGCGACTGGCGTCTGCTCGACAGTTTCCATGCTTCCTTGGCTGCCCGAAACAACGGCATGTGTCGCGTTGAGGCTCATGGAACTCGATACCTCCATTCATTACTTGCTCAGCCAGAAAGAGGATGCTGAAAAAGACAAAGGACCAACCAATTTTCTGGTATGTCCCTGCTCAACTAACCATCGTTATCGTATGTAATTGGAAGAAGTGTGAAAGTTCGATGAATACATACTCTGGTTTCGTTGATCGGTTTTAAGTCCATCAGAAGACATGTATAATTCTGTATCTTCAATGTTTGTGCAGACTTTGGCGCCGAGATATGCGATGATGAGGAACGGGGAGGAGGGCGACCATGGCGAATCGTTATTCGGATCCGGGTACTTCCAAGACCCGTGGGCTGATCCAGGCACCTCCGGCCGTGGCCGAGGGCGTGGAAGGGGTCGAGGACGGACCCGTGGAGGGAGATCCCAGAAAAATGCCGGTGCTGTTGGTTCCAGATCGAGAGCTAAAACAGCCGATATGGGTCGGTCTGGTGGGCAATTAGTCGGCTGGAAAGGGCGGACGCGTGGTGGTGGTCGGGGAGGCCGTAAACGTGGCCGCCGTGGTGTCCGGACAAAACCGCAAAAGATGGCAAAGATAGCTAATGATGATGAAAGGGATATGGATCAAGACTTCCTATACGAGGAAAGTCCGGTCGTCGGTTTCCAAGAGTGGAATGCTGAAGAAACCGCCGATCTACGAGTTGCCGAGAACGCTAGTAGTTCAGAGTACGAGATCGAAAACGACAATAACGGACAGGCATTGGTTGACGAATACGATGACGATATTATGGTCGACAGTGGGTATCGGAACGTTTACGATGACGTGGCATCTCGGGGGTATATCGGGGAATTCGGTTTAGAAGGGGAAGAAGAGTATGTTGGAGAGGAAGATGATGACGTTGAGGAGGAAGATGAGGAGGAAGATGAACAGGGTGGTGTGGATGTTGACGGATTCTTCAACGATGACTCGGATGGGAACCGGGATGTCGGTGGAGGTAACAATAATCCAGATGACGAGACGGAATCGTCTTCATCCGGTTATAGCGATTAAATTAACAAACTAGTGTAGTGTATTGAATGTAATGTAGAAGTATAGTGAAGTTCCAAATGTAATGTTTGGTGCTGGATTGTGTTTTATGTAGATTTTGGAATAGGTCAAAAAAGAGAGATGTATGTTGAAATAGAGAAGCTAAACCTTTAAGATTACCAATCTTGCATATACCCAGGACCGTAAACGAACCGAATTTCATCAAACCGTTCGGCGGAAGGTTTGTTTATGTGTTCGTTTATTTAATAAATGAACGAACATGAACAATTTTTTTTGTTCGTTTAGTTAAACGAACAAACATGAACAAGAGTCTCGTTTGTTCATTTATGTTCGTGAACGTTCGTTCCCTTATGTTTGTTTATATATTGAACTAGTGCGTGTTATCGCTCGTTGTGCAATGACAAAAATGTGTTGTTAGAAAATAAATATGTAATTACTTTGAGATGAATCGTAACTTGTTAATTCATTGACAACTAATAAAATACAATGTAAAACACTGAAGTACTTGTAAAAAGTAATTGATGTAACGTATGATAAAAAAACGAAGGTTGATCCCGTTGAATCTATGAACACTTTTCCATAGCGTGTTCCTCGTTTCAAACTTCAAATCGATATATTATGAACCTAAAATAGAGTCTCGCACAAAAGTTATGCGTATTTAAGCGCAAACACCCTTTGTTAGCCTGGTCATGGGCTTCCCTAAAGAATAGGGCATAGTCCTCCACACCATGACCTGTATCAGTAATGCTCCGGTGTTGAAATTAAAGTTGTACAAAAATGGTTAGTTGCAAATGTGTATACAATATTAAGAATTATACTGGTAGAACATAAAAATAATCTTTCAAATATAACTTGATGCTTGTTTTGCGACCTATTTATTAAACCGGTTTTAAAATGGGTTGCACATAAAAGAAAACTATAATAAACCATCATATGAAGTTAGTTAATTAAATATAGAAAAAAAAAAACAATTACATAAATTAAAAAAACACTATATTATAAGAACTCATTTATTATATATTCACCCATATAGCCACCTCCGTGAAAAAAAATATGCATTCAAAATAAAATAAAATATGTTATATAGCTAATGGTATGGATTTCTCTTGGTTGACATATTTTCTAGCAAAAACATGGAGCTTTTTTGATTCAAGTACCATTTATATTATTTTCTTGAATAAGGTTCAACTATGCAGGTAAATGCAATTTTTAATTTTTGTGAACTTTTTGATTCTTGCAAATGCATTTATCTTGAACTGGAAAAGTCAAACGGGGTTGGGGTACTTGGTTCTAATTGTCAAAAGATGTGAACTCATTTTTCATGTACTATTTTATACAACTTTTTCTAGAAAATTATCAGTGGCAATCCTTTATTTTTTCGAAACCATAAACAACATTAGTTAGCTAAGTATTAACATCTTTCTTTAATTTGTGTGTTATTATCCCTTCAGACATTAATCTCAATATAATTTGATACTTTTAAGCTTTCACGTTCTTGTTCATAAACATTATTTGTTTATAATAATTAAATTAACATTAGAGACGCCTTTTAGACATAAATTACATTCACTACCAGAAAACAGGCTATTTCTGGCGGACGAAATCCGCTGGAAATATACCGGCGGATTACCGTGGGACAACAAAAAAGTCAACTTATGTTGACTTCTGCCAGAAATCCGCCGGTAAAACTATTCTGATAATATTTCCGGCGGTATTTGTAACTAATTATTTTAGGCTTGTATTTAAATCTAATTGCAATAATTTACCGGCGGATATTTAATTAATTTTTTAAAATTAAGATCCGCTGGAAAGTAATTAAGAATTATAATTTATTTTCAAAATTTTCTGGCGGAAGCCAGAGTTCGCCAGTAATAGCTATCCAAGATTTTTTTTTAAATTAATGATTTCCGGCGGATTTTCATTTTTTTCCCAATTTTCAAACTTTTCTCTTCTTAATGGATCGTATTGAGTTTTAAAGGGTCGTATTGGGCTTTAATGATTCTATTGGACTTTAGAGGATGTTAGTTGGGCTTTAATGGATCGTATTGAGCTTTAACGGTTGTATTGACTTTAACGCATCGTATTGGTATTTAGTGGAAGTTAGTTGTGGTTTAATGGACCATATTGGGTTTAAAGGACCTATTCGACTTTAATGGATCGTATTGGGCTTTAATGGATCGTATTGGGCTTTAACGGTTCTATTGATTTTTAACGCATCGTATTGGGTTTTAGTGGATGTTAGTTGTGGTTTAATGGATCGTATTGGGTTGAAATGGACCGTATTGGGATTTAACGGTTTCATTGGACTTTAATGCATCATATAGGGTTTTAGTGGACCGTATTGGGCTTTAATGAATCATATCCCGCTTTAATAGGTCATGTTGGCATTTAATGGATCGTATTGGGTTGTAATGGACCGATTGGGCTTTAATGGATCATATTGGTCTTTAATGGATTGTATTGGTCTTTAATGGATCATATTGAGCTTTAAAGGTTCTATTGGGATTTAGTAGATGTTAGTTGAGCTTTAATGGACTGTATTGGGTTGTAATGGATCGAATGGGCTTTAATGGATCGTATTGGGCTTTAATGGTTCATATTGGTCTTTAATGGATCATATTGGTCTTTAATGGATCGTATTGGGTTTTAAAGGTTCTATTGGGCTTTAATGGATGTTAGTTGGGCTTTAATGGATCGTATTGGACTTTAACGGTTTTATTGGGCTTTAATGGAACATATTGGACTTTAGTGGAACGTATTCGGCTTTCATGGAACGTATTGGGTTTTCATGGAACGTATTGGGCTTCAATGGACCATATTGGGCTTTAATGGACAATATTGGGCTTTAATGGACCGATTGGGCTTTAATGGATCGTATTGATCTTTAAAAATTCTTCGGCTTTAGTGGATGTTAGTTGGGCTTTAATGAACCGTATTGGGTTGTAATGGATCGATTGAGCTTTAATGGATTGTATTAGTCTTTAATGGATCGTATTGGGCTTTAAAAATTCTATTGGGTTTTAATGAATGTTAGTTGGGCTTTAATGGATGTTAATTGAGCTTTAATAGATCGTATTGGGGATTCAAGATGCATGTAAATTTACTAAAAGAGGCTTGTGCATAATGAAGTACACATTTATTATATAGGGACGACATCGTCCTTTTATTATATTAGACATATTTTAGAAATCAAAAAATTTAGAAAAAAGAGAAAAAAGGATTCTAACATAAGGAGATGTCATGTAAACACTATTGAGTTTTCCTTTAATATATATATATATATATATATATATATATATATATATATATATATATATATATATA